GTTTGTTTGTTTTCCATATACCACAGGGTTTGCTGGATGCAAGAACAAGCGTTCTCAGAGAAAGAAGCACAGACTGCTTTTGGTGGGAACGCAGATCTAAGTAAACATCAAATTGCAACCTGAAGATACATTCAAGTTCCTGCCAGCCACAAATGAAAACAACTCCTTTGAACAACATATTGCTGGGGTAAAAGGCGTGTTACCAGAGCCTATGTCATTAAGTTCAACATAGCAAAGAAAAAACAGTGACACTATAATCACTTACATGACTTATCAGCTGAATTATTTATGTATATTGCAATTAAGCAAGCTGGGTAAACTCATTCACAGCGATGAATACTGTCATTAAGGGAATCAGCTGAACACACACAGACTTTGTAACTCATATATCACCTTTAAGGTTGTTAGGACTGGTAATAATAAAAAATAAACCACTTAAAAAAAAAAAAGAAAAGTCAAGACTCTTGTCAGCCCAATCTGTTTTTTGCTCATCTACCCAGTGAATGGCTCATTCAGGTGTTCCATCACCAGGGAGGAGCTGGAGTGATGAGGAAAAGGAGCTAGAGCTGCTGCTGAAAATGCATGAGTAGAATGCTGTTCAAAACTCCAGGCAGAATCTAGAGAGCTGGCATTTGTTTAAGTTCTTATTTTCTTTTTGTTTGTAATCTTCATACATACTGCTTGTCCAAAGCCAGTTTATTAGTACATCACTTTTTCATGTCTTCTACACTTAATTTCCTAGGAATTTACATCTGCTGAGGGAGTGGCTACCTAATCAAGAAAAAAGTGAATAATTACTGTATGTATAGCTTTTGTGAGAGAATTACCATAGCTATTCATAAATTATATTAGTGTTTTTGTCCCTCAAAGGAATAACAAAGCTGCATCTGAGAAGATGGATGTAACCATACTTTCAAAGAGCTCTGAGCAAATTCTTCACATTCCCCTCTACCATAAGGCTTTGCTTCAGCTAAAAGAGACTTACTTTAGACTAACCATGCTAGAAGCAACTCACAAGACTCAACCTAAAATGTATTTGCCATTAGCTTATATGACAAGAAAGATGCATATCAGCACCAAACTGTGACTTGGAATTTGAGCTGTTTTATGAGAAGTCATTCTTCACTGAATACATAAAGCCATCCAAAACTAAGTTATAAAATATCAGCTAGAGGACTTCCCTGCTGCCTCAAACATAATTCAGAACATTTAATCAAAATCATGTGGAAAATAACATAAGCCTTTGAGAAAAAGAAAATTAATGAGAGCAGTTACATTTGAGTAATCTGAAGGGTACTTTTTGCTCAGTATCTTGCCTAAAAAGGCAGTCAACAACAGATGCCTAAGCAAGAATGTCAGAATAAAGCAATAATGTAATGAATCTTCCTTGGCAATTGCATACAGCTTTTGGCAGTGTGGTTCAGGGACTTTCTGGACCAGAGGTGATATCTTAGTGTTTAACAACTGTTAACAGACATATTAATGGGGAAAAAAAAAAAATCCAATATTTTTTTGACTAATCAAAACTTTTAGCATCCTTATTATTCAAAGACAGAGTTTCACAACCTAGCTATCCTTTAAGCACTTTATTTTCTGCTAAGTACTTTTGTTTTCAATCTTCTGCTTGATAACTGTGCTCAAGGCCCTCTAGGTCTTGTATTGTAAAAGACAGTAATTCACTATATAAAGTCACTCATGATATATCTCTGTCATATGCCTCCTTAGCTACAGCTTTTTGAATTATTACTATCTATGTAAACAGTTTCATATCTTTGGTAGTCTTTCTCAGTCATCGGTGTGTCTCTACAAGAAAAAAAATGTGTTTCAGAGCATAAAGATTCTACGATTCAGTCAGCTGAAGAAAGCTGACGTAATGAGTCAATAATATCCCATATTAAGCTCACGTAAAAACATCCTGGTTTCCATATGGCACATATACCTACTCTCTGACTCTATTTTTCTGACACTCCCTGAAGATTGAGAGGCACAGACTCTAGCCCTTTTGGTGAAAACCCAAAGAAGGTATGTAGGCGAAACGAAATCTAAATAAATTTTTATTGCACAGGTTGAAACTTAATTTAAGGTAATGTGCACCTTCCAATCAGCTGCTGCTGAAACTGCCAAATGTCTCACAAAGCCATCCTGGTGCAGTGTAACATTCTGTCAGCTTTGAAGGCCAGCATCCTTGGAACCAAGCAACAAGACTCGGGTTTGTTTCTTTTAATTTTACACACTGGCCTAAGTCACTGGAATTATTACTTCTCCTGCTTCCCTCTGAACTGTTTCCTGGAGCTACTAATACATTACTGTGTGGGATTTGAGGGATGTTAATCGCAGCAGTTAGGTGAATTAGATTTCTGAAGTTAATTAGGGTGGCAAGGTCAAGTATTGCGAAGGACATTCATCTTGTTACTCGTTAGGTCTCAAGTGCATTTGCAAAAGTGTCTCAAACAGCTAATGTCTGCTCTCCTTATGCCCACAAACCAATTGCAATACTTTCAATAATAGCAATAGTGTCATTACACAAGACTAATAAAAGTGGCCTAAACACTGCTGTTTGAGGTTACAAGCAACTGGAGTCTCTGCTGACTGAAGGGATGCCACCTGTGGAGGGAATGTTGCTTCCTGCTTGAAGCAGAGTCCTCCCACACAAAAAATCCCTACACTCATAGCTAGGGTATTGATTACCCAATATTCCTATTCCTGAACATGATCACAGAGAAGCTCAACTATAGGATCACATAAATAAATAAATGTTGGCTGCCAGAGCACAGCAAAGTATCTTGTATCATTGGTGGTTAAGGATCAGATTTGGTGCCCAACCACAATTGTCCTGGATCATTAAGAAGACCAACGTATCTGATGTGCCCTTCCCCTGCCATCTCAGGGGGTTTGGCATCTGCTTCTCTTGTGCCTGTGCCGTAACTTCAGAGAGCCACGTGCTTCTGCGAGGCCCCAAGGGCTGGGTCACTGTGGAAAACCAGCAACTCCTTATTCTTTTAAAACAGGAAGGCCATGGCACATTTTCGTATTTGTCTCCACCTCTTTACCACCCTCTCTGGCCAGCCCTGATGTGGGGACACCTTTTTTCGGTCCGCCGGCTCTGCTGGCGGCCTCCTGGCCAACCTCGCCAGGAACACACCGGCAGGAGCCGGGGCGGGAGCA